AAATTCACAGCAGCATAATCACATCGCAGCACTGCTAGATGGTTAGCATTTTATTAGCTATCATCAAACAAACTGCTAGGCCTGCACTGTGAAGTACCACCGGGCTTTTGCAGAAATGTATGCTCAGCTCTTGTCAAGCCTGGTATCTTGGATGAATGTCACTCCTCAGGCAAGGTCTGGCATGCAGCACGGAGACATCCAAACTGCAACTTCAATGCCTCCGGAGATGCCAGTCCTTAACCCAGAGGCACATGATGTGGTAAGGCAAGAGTACAGGACTATGGCTGTCTTTTATATTCCAGTGGAGGTAAAAAAGAAATGAAGTGAACAACAAAACAAAGGTTTGCAATTTGCAGCCTTCTTTAGACCCCTATGCCTGCCATTAACGTTTTAATCATTACTCAGATGATCAGATGCAGGCAGCATTGCAATACTTTCCATGTCTTACTAATCCAGTTACAGCTGCTCTGGAAGCCTGTGGCAGGCGGCTTAAAGAGCATCTGAAACTGGCTTTGGATTTTTATCAACCATATGAACATACAAGGAAGAGTTATGCACAACAGACTCCTGATCACAGTTTCCATGGGCAGTATTTTAATCCAAGAATTACTCTACCAAATGAACTTTTTGCTAGGCTTGAATACATCCTTCGTCCCTCCCTCTATTTGGGTATCACGCACTTGTCCGAAAACACTGTAAGTAGAAACACCTTTGATGAGACCTGGGTTCAGAGACACCCCTGGGACTGAACTGAATCTGCCAAGTGTCATGTCTGTCCCAGCAAAAATGCAGCCATGCACCACAGAGTGGTGTCTAGGAAGAAGTGCAAATAGCTTCTGACTGTATTCAGTTTTTCCATCTGCAAGATGTATCAAGCAAGCAAATCCCACCACTGCATAAGCACACAGATGAAAATACGAAAGCAGCTCTTAGACTGACACACTGGCTTACTGACCAACACAAACATGCCTAAGGCTTCAGCCTGGAGGGATGCAGGCTGAAGAAGTCTCACTTCTGCAGTCAAAAGACTATGCATCTCATTCAGGAAACAATTTCTGTAAATTCCCGTTATCATTACAGCCCTGTATAACGAGAAATAGATTATTTCCTCTGTGAGCAACATGATTCTTGGAGAAGATCCTTTTCCCATTGATTTTCTGGGATCCCCCTTCCAGAGCTACAGAACTGTCCCAGGGGCACATGTGCTTCCCAAAGCATCAGCATGATTTTTCAACTCCCTACCAGGCCCTCTACCAAATGAGAGGTTTGTTGTCCCCTTAGGGGATGAAGGCACGGACCCAGAGCATCTTCATGCAGTGAATCGCTTTATTGCCTACTGCTCTTAACTTTTTATACCATTCTAACAATAGTTATTTTTAGCCTATTGCTTTTGCTTTTATACCATTCTATTTGTAGCCTATCATGTTTAGTTCCTGACTTATAGTTTGTTTTTTAACACTACTCTCTTTCTCACAACCAGTCCCAGAATAGCCAATCTTCATGCTCTCTCCTCCTCAGCCAGGTGTCTTGGTATCTTATGCTCTCTCCTCCTCAGCCAGCTGGGTTGCTCTGCTTGATTGTACTTTGTTTCTTCTTTAACTCCTTCTTCTCCAGCCAAGCAGTTACTTCTCTTTGGCAATAATCATATAGTTTCCATTGTCTCCCACAGTCCCCCATCACTACCACCTTGAATTGCTTGACTTCAGTCATTACCAATCTTGACAACGTACTTCCACAACAAGAGCTCCAAATGACATCAGATGTTGCCTTATGCCACTAGTGATCTACAAGGAGCTTCTGCAAACAGTACTCAGTTGCAAAGCAAATTTTTGAAAGGGAAGAACAGGAACCAAAGCTGGCCTCCGGGAGCGTGAATGTGCTACCATGCACCTTCCTGTGTTAAGGGTGCTTGCCAAATGAACAGCAATGCTCCTATTAAACACTGAAACCAATTTCCCATAGCTCCCAGCACAGATCTTAATGTTTTGAAGGGGAGGATTATTCTGCAGCATCTCACTTCTTCAGTAGGCACCACCACAGTTCTTTCAGTCATCTGTCAGTGTGTGAACTATACAAGAACATCTCAGTCTGTATTTCTGTTCGTTGCATGCCCTTCTTTAAACTCATCATATGTGGTAATAATGGTTATCTTTTAAATCAGTTGGTATACAACTTCCATAAAGTTAATATGTTCTGCGTAAATTCTCCCAAAGTAAAAAACCCTACACATCATTTCAAATTATTAGTGTCATTTCAGGCCAATGCTGGTGTTGAGCAGCACAAATCTGCTACAGAATAGGCTTTCTCCTCAGGTGCACATTACAATTAGATTAACTCTAATTCCCTCTACACATAAGAAGTGCACCACTTGTTCACAGAGACAGGTCAGCCCTGTTATATCAGAATACAATCCTTCCTCCTAGTGCTGCAAGGACTGCGTTTGGCACGGGAATTTCTGGCTCTCACTCTCAGCTCACTAGCTGTTAAATGAAAATAACAATCACTTGATTTTACCTTGTAACAGCATTAAAGCGATTTAAATTGGTGATAGCTGTAAAATGTTCAGACAGTAGAGTGACAAAGAACTGTTTAAGCGTTATAAAAGATAGCAATTGTCACGGCATTAGATCAGCAGTAAGGAACAAACCCTTGTTTTACACTGGAGGAGCAGTGGGTGGCAAGATTAGCAGTCAGTTAAACTATATACTACCCAAGAAATCACAAAGTGGCCCATGTGGCTGCTGTGCATTTACTCACCCAGCACTTACAAATCGTGCCACTCTTCCGTGACCTGCCAACTCTTGTGTGAGTAAAGCTGGCATGGGAATATAAAGTGATCTTTATTTATGAGGCAGGGGGCTGTGGAGGGAAAGGGAGAACCAAGAAACTTCCTTCAAAGCTATTCTTTAAAATAGCTCCAATAGAATAAAAATAAATAAATAAAACCATAAGGCAAAACAGAACAGCAATTCATGAAGAAAACATAGCCTGTGGGTCAGTATTCCAGCTAACTCAGTTCCTTTTTCTGCAATATGAATCAAGAACAGCAACACTGTAGAATCTATTAAAAATCATAACAACAAATTAACACTGCAGTGTTAACAGCAGTTAACTAAGCTCTGGAATGTCTAACTTAGCAATTTTTAAATCTCATGTGCTTCGGTCAAAAAAACCCCAAACCCATACTCTAATTCAAGTATCTACGCTTAATCACAGCATCTGATTGTACAGAGTACAAGCTAACCACACCAGCACGCTAGTAAGAGTATAGATGCAAAGATAACAGCCTTCAATCATTATTAATAGAGACTGCTCCCCCGCATCAAATTTCCAGCTAATTCTCTGTGTCATTTCTTACACATTTCCTTCCCCTCTCCACACAAGTTATCAAATTCAGAACAGTAGCTGAACTGCCAAGAGAAATGCAGGATTTGAAATTTAAATCAAAGAACAGAATCTCAATTAATTTCTTATGCCCTTGAGAGCATATAGTATGGATGGCTGTGGAGGAAGAATTGCTTAGCCTGGTGAAAAGGAATACGGGAACTTGGTGTTTATTTGCATTCCTTCAGCTCAAACTGTGGCTTTTGGGGGCATTAGCTATTTGCTTAAGATGTTGAACTCCTTGTTTTGAACTGCCTCGGCAGTTTCAAGTAAGAGTATGACATCTATAAAAAGCAGCTGCATATAAGGTGGTATCAATCCAGCTGACTAAGAAGATGAAAGGATGAAAGGCGAAACAAGAAGACGCACACATCTCCCTTGGAGTAGCAGCACATGCCAACGAGTAAGCAAAAAATCCTTTTGCTGGATGGGGGGAACCCAACAGTGCAAAGCCTGAGGATATCCTTAGGGAGACTTGCTCATGCTTTATACTAAAGCAAAGCAGCTTTTGAGTAGACCAGTGTGTTCACAAGCTGTGTAGAAGCAGTCCAGCCTTTCTGCGATCTAAACATCAAACAAGACAGAGACCGATAAATCACAGGGAACAACTGTGCTTCAAAAATGACTCAAGACTGAACACATGGCAAGAAGCAAGACCCCTCACGCTACCCGACACAGATGGCCACCGAAGAAAGCTCCATCACAAAACCAAACACCGTAAAACCTTTCCACAAAGGCTGGACTGTGCTGCAGCGCAAGGAAGGGCATTTAATTGGGAAATAGCACCACCTGGTGACTTCTGGTACTAAGGGAGAAGGAAACGGTCAACTTGGCCATATCAGGACAGGGAGAAAAGAGGACAGAGCATTGGCTAAATTGGGAACCAAGAGCCTGGGTAAGGAGGGAGAGAGAATTGAATGACAGAGTTGCAAGAACTAGATAGGTGGGACAGACAGAGATGGAAAGAAGAACGCCTGAACTGTTTCGCCTTTGGAAACAAGGGGCATCTTCCAGTGCTGTTACCACCTTGAGAGGCCTGTGTGACAATGAGTGGTGTAAACGTAGCAATGGCAGCTGCAAAAGGATGCCCATATCCCAATCATAAATCACTGTTCCAATGAACCAGGAAAGGAAAAAAAAAAACAACACCTAAACCTGCACTGAATCAATTATATTGTACACCACAGAGGGATATTTTGGATTCATTTTTAGGAAACCCATAGCTGTGGGACTTCATAAAGTCACTAGTGTCCAACAAGAACACCTCTAATTGCCTTCTACCGATCATTGAATCATAGGATCCTCCCGACCAAGGCATAACAGAGCAGCAGGCAAACTTACCCTGCCATTTGCCCTGTAAGTGATAAGGAAGCATATTATCCCACACTCCATAGTATGCACTTCTACCTCTTCACTCCCACCATCCCAGTTCACTTTAATGACCTCTTCCTGTTCCTGGCTCGCTGATTTCTCATCTGAGCACCACCACAGACACTTGAATATGATCACTTTCATGTTCGCCACTTCGTTTTTCAGGTGAGGAGGAGAAACAAGAGCCCTGGTTTACCATAGGAAAATTCCTACTGTGGTGCCACAGTGGTGGTTGCCACTCATTATCCCCCTGCCAATAAAGTAGGAACCAAGAGCAAACTTAACAGGTCTCTCCAGCATGTGAAACCTCAACAGGGACGAACTAAATAAAGCAAAGGAAAACAAAGAAAAATTGCAAGTCATACAGTAATGCCCATGCAATTTTAGTGACAGCAATACCTGATTTTGGCAACTCAAATGGTCAGAGTTTCTTTTCTGGACAGACTTGGGAGACCTGTTAACATCTGCAGGCTGCTATCCTCCTCCCACCCACCCTATCTCAAGAAATACATGCAGTTACAAAAATCCACTCAGTGTACTGTTCTTCCCACAGATAAATGCCTATTGAAAGTACATTCAAAATCTGTGTGAATAATATCTGCTTAGGAATCTTGATAATTGGCCCTGAACTTGAAAAATTAAGTAATGGATAACTGTAAGTGCACAAAAGTAACTTACAAGTCACTGTAGCTCACACTATCAATGATAACAAGTATTGATTGTAGAGGCTATTATCTCTATTGGCCACATGCACACACACCAGCATACCAATCTAGTTAAATATCATTCATCATCATTGTGCAAGGCAGTGATCAGAGAGACTAAATTCAATTTTCAGACTGCATACATAAATAACCAGAGGCTTTCATAGTTCAGTAAACATGTTAGGCAACAGCATCCTGACAAATGTTGTTTCTGAGTACAGTTTGGCAGCAAAAAAAATGGGATAAACAATTTGTGTTATTCTTTCCAAACCAAATTCTTTTTCTAAGTGAACCTCCCCCACATGTATTTGTGGCAGCTGCAACTTTTAAAATGATGACAAAAATATGATGATGAGATAACTTTTGACCTGAACTTGTTTGACACAAGTTTCTGTTCATACTCCAACACCCTGTCTCTTCCGTTGACAAATTCTATCACGAGGGGCTATAATTTCAAGATACATGCTTGTTAGTGTCATTTACTAAACTGGGGGGAAATAAAAAGATATACCTGTCCCCACATAGAAGGTATTAAAAATCTTCTAGCCAGTCTGGAATTGATAATCCAAACATTATAGCTTCATATTCCAGATTGCCTACAAATCCCAAGGAAGTAGTTTTCTTTAATTAAATGAAGGCAATGGCTCTTACGCAATTAACGATATTCGCATCAACTAGATACAGCATTTGAGGAAATGCCTCTTGTTCAGTTTTCTATTTCACTAATATAAAAATTGTCCAGTGATGACCTGGAAAATCTGTAAAAAGGCTCAATTACCTTCAAATTTGCCCATCCAAGCTCAGTAAGCAACACAATGTTCAGACATTCCCTTCGCAATTTGCAGCTACCTCACCTGCAACTTATTACTGCATTTCATACTAAAGAGGAAGTAAAAAGCCACATAAATTATGAGTGCCAACTGAAACACCAGTTGAGAACTTCAGTCCTGGAGAAAAGAAAGCCTGATCCCTTCTCTTTTGCAGCAATGGGCAACAGAGAGGAAGGAGGCAGAGTTTCAGGGTGCAGCTATATAAAGCCATTTCCCCTGAGAAATAGGAACCAGCCTCATGGTCCCAGATCTTTGCTCCAAATTAGCAGAGCCCTAGTACAGGGTATGATGTCAACTACCAACAACCAGAGGCAAACAACTCTTCCTTGCCTCTCCACTGGCCAAAGGCAGCCAATACAGCACCAACCCTGAAGGGTTCAGGAAACACCACGAGGGTGGAACAGGGGCTAAGGATTTCATTCCTGGTTTTATAGCCAAAAACTCTGAGTCTGCTTATCAGATCCTTTTAGCTGACACAACAACCTGTAAAATCAGCAGTCTACAAATGATCATTGAAAGGTCTCAGGTAGTCTCTCTCCTTCACACAGTCTAAAGGCTGGCCAGCATTAATACGTCACTTCCTCCGAGGCATCAGAGGAAGGGGGCGAGTTGAGATTTACTGGAATTTGCCAATATTTGTTACCCACAATTAAATGTAAGTAACATGTGCATGTAGATAATGTATATCTACATGGACACTGAATGACATCAAGGAGAGGTCTAAAAATCCTCGGAACTGGAGAGTTTAATTTCCTGAATTCATATACCGGACTGGCAATAGACAATCAGAGGTTTGTGTAAACCTAAATCTGCATTAAGAAATCTTTCCCCAAACTATTATGTTTAATTAACTTAGATTCATAGTGATTCCATGTTCACCTATTGTCTGGCTCTGAAGTTTTCCCTAATACAGTAAACATCACTTATTTTAAAAAGCATTGTATAAAGACCTGTCACCCAGGCAAGGAAACAGAAGAGATAACAGCAAGCACAGTGTAACAAAACACAGGGCTGAGGGGTTTATCTGTGGATTTACTGTGTACTGTTGTGAACTTAATGAGAGTAAAGCTATCTATCTGCACTGCACAGGCTCATAAATGGAAGACATTATCAGCGCAAGGCTGTATCCCTTAAGCAGCTGATTTCTTGAATGTGTTCACCTCCCATCAATTTCACTGGGAATGAAACCTAGCAACTTCTAAACCTGTGCCACAAAACTCAACTTTTTAGGGAAAGCCCTTTAAAATGAGCTGAAATGGGTTCTGTTGCTCATATTGTTAAGGCACCTTCATCTCTCCACCACAGGAATACCTAACTTAAGACTGACTCACAGAAGAAAGATTTTATTCACCTGGCCAGTTTTTCTCATCTTCGCTCAGAAATTGGAAACCAGAAATGGTCAGAAGTGTATGGACTTTGCAAATCTCAACTGAAAACACGCTGGGAGCATTACAACTGGAATGCTAAACCATAAGGTTTAGTACATTTAAGGACATTTCCTCAAGGGACAAGAATAATTAGGGTTTAAGAATGAATTTGATCTTTCCTTCCAAAGGTACAGAGGAGTTGCCCCCAGGACAGACTTCAGTGTCACAGCCTGAGTGTTTAGGATCATGCGGGACTGAGACTAAAGCTCCCGCAGACCCCAGACACAGCAGAACAACAGGCATGGGTATTTTGGACATCATCTCAAGTGCCTCATGAGATCCTACCGGACCTTCCCTTTCAGGTCTGTGACAGAGTGCCCCTGTCAGGTTGAAAGATACAGCTTAATTCAGTGCAATATGAACAACAATTCTACAGATTCAGCTGGACAAAAGTGTGTTGAAACATAAATGAAACAATGCTCACTAAGACAAAGTTACAGCTTTAAAAGAAGAAGAAACTGAAGGCTAAACCCAAGGAGAGCTGGCAGGGTTTTTCACCACACCTTATTATTTTGTATGTATTACACTCCTTTCATTGTTTCGCTCTGTATGATTTTCTGTTTCCTTATTCTCAGCTTCTCTTCCCCTTGCTCCTCCTCCAACTTTACCCTCTGTGTTCCTCTTTCCCCCCCACCAGTCCCCCACAACGCTCCTCTAATGCTTTCCCTTGGTCTCTGTTTTGGACGTCTACTTCCTCCTGCTCTGTTAGTCCTTCTTTATCCCTTTGTTCCTCCAAACCTCCTCTATGCTGATTTTTACACTCCTTTTCCTACTGGTCATCACTTACAACTATTCCTGAAAAACTTTTTAGGCTGCAGGATTACCACTGTCCTTCAGACAAACTTTAAACATTTGGACTTACAGAATACAAGTGCCAAAGGTTTGCTCTCTCTCTGTCTTTCTCCATGCCAGCCTAAAGGAGAAGGGAAATCTGGCTATAATACTCTGTATCAGCTCAATAATACCTGCTTAAATAAATCAGTATCTCCAAAGAGTCTACCAGATGCTGAAAATCAAGCAGAGGTAAAACCGAGCTACTTACCTGCTTTTAATATTAAATGTCGGGAATCACTCAAGAGTTGTGTTATCTCAAATATTTAATTTACATCAACTTTTTCTCTTTGTTCTCCACACAGTACCTGCATTCACCTGTGTATTAAAGCGTGCGCTGAGCTTTAAGCTTAGGTTTCAATTCAGCCCATTCAGCAAAGGCTGAACGATGTGCCCTGGTACACTGCTGAAGAGGGATTATCCCAATGCTTAGAATCAAACACGTGCTTAAGGATGCTACACAAATTAGGGCTTCAACAACATAATCTTACATCAGCATTTGTGTCATCTGGGTTTATACAGCTGCCATTTTTGTCACATAAGATGTGCTTCAACTGTCTGTATAATGCCCAAGCATGCATTTATTCTTCTCAAGCACACTCTGCAGGAAAAGAAAATAAAGCAAAACATC